AAAATAGAAAGTCTTCCCAAATATCCAGATAAACGCAATACCAATATTAATGTTGCAATGTCTCATGGATCTAGAGAGGCCACACCAGTGGGTAAATCTGACAGATCTCTAAGCAAAGAAGCTCATGCTTCTAAAAACGAAAATGTCATACTAACAACACACAATGAGTTTAACCCACAGTCTTTGATTCATAAACGTGAACATTTTCAAAAAGATCAAGAAAGAAAAAAAGAGACTAAAAGGGGGATAGCTGAAGAATCAGTGTAAGATGCAAAGGAAGATGTGGATCAGTCGAAAACATCTTATAGTGAGGAAATGAGAAATGTTCTGTCAGCTGATGTTCAGCAGGAAAGAAAGGAGGATGAAGTTCTTGCAGTACAAATTCAAGAAAGTCTAAAAAATTATACTTCTTCCAAATCTGGTACACTTGTTGATAGTGGAAAATGTGACAATGTTTCGGAGCCTTGGGATGATCAAGTGCAAATATCTGAGCTAACAATTCAAAGTACTCTTCATCTTAAGACATCACAAAAGTCAATGGAAAAAACACCATTAAGCCTAAAAATTTTTAAGCAAGACACAGAGGGTGATATGACCTTAACTTTACCTCAAGAGAGCTCCATGTTTGCAATGTTGACACCTGGAAAATCTTCTGGGGTCCACAGCACTGTGCCACAAAGCCACGCTGAGCCTGATCTGAAGACTTTTGTTACTAAAAGTGAATATCCAGATAAACGCAAGACCAATATTAATTTTGCAATGTCTGGTGGATCTAGAGATGCCACACCATTGGATAAATCTGACAGTCCTCTGGGCAAAGAAGTAAAAAGTCCTCATTATTCAGTTTTTGCAGTAGGAAAAGAACAGATTCTAGAAGGTCAAACAACCCCAATACAAGAGAGTCTACAGACTGAGTACTCATCTGACACTCTGACAGATGTTTTTTCTGCATTCACAGACCTAAATGTTTCTTCAGACCCACAACATCAAGACAAATCTTTAAGGACAGAAGAGCAGCCTGAAGGTAATGTCAACTCCAATGTGAGCATAAGAAAACTTGGGTCAAGCCGTAGAAACAAAGGAAGGCAGCGAGGTAAAGAACCCAAAGTGGGAGTTTTTGAAAATACCAAGAGTGATGAAGACCTTGAAACAACACCAGTATTAGAAACAAAAAAATCAGGACAAGGCGAAATGAGTCAGGACAGTGGGCATGATGTTATCCTGTCTGCTTCACAGGAAAGCTCCATGTCTATATTGCCTCTACCTGGTCATGCTTCTGAGAATCAAAACTTAATACCAACAACACACACTGAGTTTGACCCACAGCCTTTGATTCCTAAAAGTGAAAATATTCAAAGAGATCAAGAAAGAGAGACAGAGACTATAAAGGAGATAGCTGAAAAATCAGTGTATGATGCAATCGAAGACATGGATCAGTCGAAAACATCTTATAGTGAGGACATAAGAAA